TTAGCTTAGGGCCAATCTTCCTCAACAAAAAGCATAACTTTAAAACAAAAAAACACAAATTTATTGTCTTATGGTTCTGGAGGTCAGAAGTCATAAAACCAATATGTTGGCTGGGTCGCATCCTTTTGGGGTCTGAAGGGAGAATCAGTTTCCTTTCCTTTTCCAGCTTCTAGAGGCAGCCTGTACTCCTTGCTTCATGACTCCTTCCTCCATCTTCAAGGCCAGCAGTGGAGCATCTTCAAATCTGTCTGTCTGTCTTTCTCCCTCTCTCTCCTCTGCTTCTGTCATCACATCTCCTCCTCTGACTCTGACTCTCCCGCCTCCCTCTTATAAGGACTATTGTGATTACATTGGGCTTACCTGAACAATCCATGTTAATTTCCCCGTCTCAAGATCCTTACCTTAATCACACCAGCAAAGTCTCTTTTGCCATGTAAGGTAACACATTCGCAGGTTCTGGGGATAAGTCCCTGGACATCTTTGGGGGCCATTTTTCTGCCTATTACACTACCATTTATTCATTTAACCAATATTTATTGTACACCTACTATGTGCCAGTTACCATGTTAGCTGGATGCAGTGTAGAGTCAAACAGACATGGCTTCTTCCCTCCTGGAGAAGTTCTTCATTTTCTAGATTAGCACCAGCTGATAATCCCCAGAGCAGGTGAACATATGCAATAATATCAGAGAATGTTTCATACGCATAAAACATAGACGGAAACACATTCACTCACTTACATAATCACTTCAGTACAAGTCTCCTTGTGACTGTAAATGTTTAGGATGAAATGCCCACCCTGTGTTCTCTTTTTGAGTGAGCAAACCCTCATTATAAGGAAAACATCCTTAACCCTCAGTGCAAACACCTCTAACTCAGTCTCAGTAGATGATAAAAAGCAGAGATTTTTTTTTTTTAATTAATGTTATGATAGATTACAACCTTGTGAGATTTCAGTTGTACATTTTTGTTAGTCATGTTGTGGGTACACCACTTCCCCCTCCATACCCCTCCCCCCACCCCCCCTTTTCCCTGGTAACCACCGATCAGAACTCCTTCTCAATATACTAATTTCCACCTATGAGTGGAGTCATATAGAGTTCGTCTTTCTCTGACTGACTTATTTCGCTTAACATAATGCCCTCGAGGTCCATCCACGTTGTTGTGAATGGGCGAATTTCGTCAAAAAGCAGAGATTTTTGTTCCACTAAATCCTGTGCTTCTTGATAATCCCAGCTCCCTAATCTTTCGAGGGTCCATGGGTGACTCTAGCCAGTGCTATAAGAGCAGCAGTCCACCTCTGCTGGGGGAAGCCAAGCATGACCAACATCTGACTTTCCCTGTCCCTCCTTGCTTGCTGGTGATTGGCTGGACAACTGCAGCACATTAGTGGATTGACCAATGAATATCTGGCTAGGGACTAATCTGAGGGCCGCCTTCTGGTGCTGCATTACTTACAAAGTTTCCCACATTGTGGGACTAGCTGGGGTTGAGAATGAGAGGCTCATGTGCCATCTCATTCGCAGAGGCCCAGCACCTTGAGTTCCCTTTCCTGTCTGCACTCCAGAGATGGAAGCCGGATCATGGATGATTCTAGCTGTTCCAAGAAGGTATCCTTTGCAAGACTTTCTTCTCCATCTGACACTGTGTTTGTAGCCAGCCATTATCTTTTTCTTCCTGAGTCTCTTCAACAGGAACTTATTCTCTTCCATCATCCTTTTTACTTACTTCTCCCCCAAGGGGGGAGGACTGGTTTTCTTGGATTGGGGAGATAGGGAACTGACATTCATTGGTTCAAGTTTTATGATTGGGTTCAGTATATGGGTTTAAAGCTGTGCGTATTGTCAAAGATAAATTGTACCAGACAGAGTTAAACAGGCAAGAAAAACATTAAGACTATTGCAATAGGGGTTAATACTATTGAATGTGGGGCAGAGATTGAGCTGAACTCAAATATGAGAGGCAGCTGGGGATTTAGAGCCAACAGGCAGGGCGAGGGAGTCACTGGATGGAAATTACTGAGAGGGACTTGGTTAGGTATCAAGAGCGGGGAAAAGAGGAGCTTGACTGGATATCACAGAGCGCGGAGGGATGGGGGAGAGGAACTTGATTAGATGTCAAAAGTTGAAGTATTCTCACTAAACTAGCTTAGCAGGATTCTTGCTAAAACTGAGGTCAGCAGGCCAAGGACAAGGCTTAGTCAAGAAGCGTGCTCAGAAGAGCATGACTAAAGTTCGGCCAAGGAGGGGAATCCTCATCAGTATCACTGTTTTCTCTGCACCTCAGGAATCGATTTGCCACACAACGTACACACACCCTGCTCCTCCATGTGTGAATGTCCTGGCCCCTTGAGTGTGTGTGAGAAACAATGTATGAGTGTGTGGGGCTGGAGGTTGGTGAAAAGCCCGTGGGCCGTGGTGCATACATTCAGCTCAGGGGTTCAATATTAGGAAACACGCCTAAGATGTTTTCTCCAGTACAGCTTCAGCTGGTAACAGAGACAATATTTTGATCAGCATTCCAGAGTGGCAGTTCCTGTTTTTAATTCCCACCAGCGATGCATGGGAGTTCCTTTTGCTCCACATACTTGCCAGTACTTGGTATTGTTCATTCTTTCACTTGTTTTTCTCTGTTATTTGGATTGGGTAATTTCTATTGATCTCTCTGTAAATTCACTGACCTTTTCCTCTGTCATCTCCATTCTACCACTGATGATGTAAGGTTAATTTTGAATTTCAGTTATTGCATTTTTCAAGTCTAAAGTTTCAATTTTTAGAAATGGTTTTCATTCCTTTGCTGAGAACTTCTATCTTTCCATTCATTTCAAGAGTGTTTTCCCTTACTTCATGGAGCATGACTATAAGAGTTACTTTAAAGTAGCTATTATATCCGGGTCATTTGGGGGTTGGCCCCTGTTGATTGTTATTTTCATTGAGAGTTGTTGAGGTTTTCCTAGCCCTTCATATGTCAAGTAACTTTGAGTTGTAGCTTGGACAGTTTGAACATTATACTATGACGCTCTATGTCCTATTGAAACTTTCCAGGCAATTTTTTTAAAGCAGGCAACCAATCTGGTTATGCCCAGGCTGCCAAGTCCTGACCCACATTCTGTGGACTCTGTTTCCAATTTCAGTTTAGTTTCCAAAGTCTTTGCAGTGCTAATTGTGTCCACCCTGTGTGTGCGACACCCAGGGGCCAGCCTGGGCCCGTGTGGTGGTCTAACTTATAGGCAGTTCTCAAAGGTTTTGCTATATTACTTCCAGTCAGCTTCATGCATGTGGCACTCCGGGGTGAGCCCAGGACTTCACGTGCAGATTTAAGGTGTCACTCTTTTTAGTTGTCTCCTCACTGTGATTTCCTCTACAATCTCCAATTTCCAGTTGTCACTTCTCCTGGTATTTTGGCTGGAAATCTAAGGCTTTCGCCTCCCCATTGTGCTACACTTTCACATCTGGGTTTGCATCTGGGGCAAAACATTGACAGAAAAAAAGGGAGAAAAGAGTAACAGGCAGTCCCTCACACTCTTCAGTCCACAGCGGCCCGTTTTGCCAGTTCCTCTCATCAGAGAGAAGAGTTTTTCTTAGATGTTTAGATGTCTGTGTGATCACCATTGCTGCCACCATCCTAGGAGTTCAGCTTCATGACTTGAGCTTGTCTCAGTGCAAAAAATGGGGGGGAGTGGCAGTTTACTCTTTTAAGGTGACCCTCCCCGACCCCATGCATTCTTTTCCCCATAGAGTCACCCCTTCTGTCCCTCTGGCCAGATAGGGAGGGTTTCTCTGGGAGCTTTTTCTGTCAGTGCTCATTGTGCAGTTCTGGGAATTGGCCTGTCCTGGAGCATAAGTCAGGAGATACGGGAAGAAAAAATGCAGAAAACTCACCTGCCATATTGGTTGTTCTTCGGGTTTTGATTTCCCTCCTCAATATGCCTGCTGTCATTTGTTCTTCAGAGTCTTCGTATGTTTGTATCATGTATTCTGTCCTGGGTTTTTTAGTTATAATCAGTGGGAGAAATAGGGTGGAGTGTGCTTATTTCATCCGAGCCAGAATCAGAAGCTGGAAGAGTTACTTTTCTTTCAGTGAAGCTGAAAAGAGGAAACGTCAACTTCCATAGCTTGGGAATGAAAGGATAGGGACAATAGTAAGACTAGGGCCTAATCCCTAATCCCTGGGCAGGAACTGGAACAGGAGGCCTGCTAATTTGAGTAGAGAGTCCTTTAGGGCCATGAACGGGTACAGGACACTATCAGTGGTTAGTACCATTCAGAAGGCACCAGAGCCTGTGCAGCAGGGCCCACGGAGATGTCTGTCTCTCTGACTCACCACTCTCCATCATCTTTCAGCATCTGAAACACAGCTCTTTCCATGGAGATTCACTGCAGTGGATATTAGAGCATGGACAAAGGCTTCGGAATTGATTTAATGTAAAGTGAAAAAAATAGGAGATAAAGGACAAGATAGTTGTAAATTGCGTTTTACGTATTCTGTGATTATAACAGGTTAAATAATGGGCCAGAAATGGACAGAGATGTGTAAAATTTGAAAGGATAGTGTCAGAGAAATTGAAGCATATGAAATTATGAGTGTCTTATTATTTTTTAAAAATTTACTTAATGTTGTTCTAACTTTTCAAATGTAGTAACGTACAATTCCAGTCCTATTGCCTGATGGTCATGTCGTTTCCCCTTCCACTTCTGTACTTATTTTGGAAAGCTTTCTTGATTCTCCTCTCTCACCCCAACCTCAGACTAGGTGGCCCTGTTACATGTTCCTATAACGCCATGTCCCCCCGGCCCCGGCACTGATTTCACTTTCTCGTTAATGCTTCTTTGATGTTCACTCTTCTGTGGTGGACACGAGCTAAGGCAGCCAAGGGCAGTGGACTGTTGCTCACTGCTGTATTCCCAGTGCCCACCTCATGCCTGGTCCATGGTAGGCACCTAGTAAATATTTAGTGACTAAACACTCAAGTCTGCAAATGAAAGAGAACACTCAAAAGCTCCTATTTCTTTTTATACTTTATTTGGCCTTTTTGGTCTCAGGTACTTCTTGTACTCACATTTCACTTTCTCACCATATTGACAAACACTGTCCAAATTTTTCAGCCAAACCAAAGCTGGATGCTATGGTGTACTGAACTGGCAATCAACCAAAGGAGAAGACCAGTGATGAAAAAATATTCAGTAGGAGAGGAAAATCAGAACTCAGATTTTGGCACGGCTGCCTTTGTCCAGAATGGTCAGAAAAAAACGAAGGGATTCCAGTGGGGTTGCTAGGTCCAGAGCCTTTCCCCTCCCCTCTGGCTCCACTCCTACTGCGACATGCTAAATTCAAACACACAGGTGCTAATTCACATGCACTTTCATCTACATATGGGCACTTATGTTTGTTTCATTCTGGAGGCAAGTGTAGGGCATCACCCAACCCACAAGGCAGGCATTATCACGGCACGCTGCAAGTTGTTCCGACCCAAACAACCCTAGAACATAAGGGTTGGAAGAGTCCTTAAACATATCTACTCCTAGCAACTTCTTCCAACATTGACACAGATTTCCCTAACAACAACAGTCAAGACAAGCAATCACTCAACCTTTGCTTGAGCACTGTGAGTAATGGAGAACTCACTGTCTGTGATGGTTAATTTTACACGTTAACTTGACTGGGTCATGGGTGCAAACAGTGAAAGGGAGTTACTGTGCCGGCTGGGGCGAGTGATCCTAACTACCAAGGGGAAATTGGCTGCTACTCCACAATGGCGGGAAGGGAGAGTGTGTCTGGGACACAGGAGATCCCTTTGGGCGTCTCTCAGTATCACCATGCCCTGTGATTAAAGGAAATGGAAAACTACAACAATCTAATTCAGGCAGGACTACTAACAGCCCAGACCCTTCAAGAATGGTTTTGGTCACTCCACCAGGTAAAGAACCATGACCAGCTGAGGTGCTTGCTGAAGGCAAAAGGAACGCAGAGTGGCTAGTGGAAGAAGGTGTTTATCAACACCAGCTATGACCACATGACCACTTATAGAAATGAGGACTGTAATTGTCCTGAGGATTTCCTCCTTATTTTGTTATGAATACTTTGTGTATCTGTTTGTCTATCTAACAATATCTTTGTTTTCTTTCCTCTTTTATTCCCTTACCATGTAACACAAGATGTGTTGATTTTAGGTCATAAAATTCAAGTTTGTTAATTTTACATCATAGTACTTAAGTTATGGGATATCAAGGAGAAGAGAACCTCACTCAAGGACTTTATCTCCTTTTGGGGGAAGGGGCTAATATGTTTTCAGTTGTAGGCAGGATAGTTGTATCACGTTAGGTGGAGTTACGACCTCATTATTGTCTTTATTTGAAGATTAAGTATGATTTAAGGAGATGTATATAGGTGCCAAGTCGACAAGGGGTGGACTTGTGACGCTTAATTTTATGTGCCAACTTGACTGGACCATGGGATGTCCAGACAGCTGGTTAAACACCACTTTGGGGCAGGTCTGTGAGGGTTCCTGTGGATGAGATTAGCATTTGAATTTGTAGACTGAGTAAAGCAGATTGCTCTCTGCAATGTGGGTGGGCCTCATCCAACCCGTTGAGGGCCTGAAGAGAAAACTGGCAGAGGAGGGAAGATTTGCCCTCAGCCTGCCCGCTTGAGCTGGGACATCGCTTTTCTTTTGCCCTGCGACTGGAACTTACACCATCAGGCTCCTGGTTCTCAGGCCTTTGGACCTGGACAAGAGCTCACACCACAGGGTCTCCTGATTCTCAGGCCTCCAGCCTTCCTGCATCTCCAGCATGCAGATGGCAGATTGTGGGCCTTCTCAGCCTCCATAATCACATGAGCCAATTCCTCACAACAAATTATACATATTCTTTTCCTCTGGAGAACCACAATACACTATCTTTCGCATAAATCTCCTCCATGATTGGCAAACATGGGGTGCCTCTGTGACATTCCCACTCTTGCACCTGTGGCAGACATCACCAATCAGTCACAATGTGCTTCCTCTCCAAGTCTAGGTTTAGCTTCAGAGCTTAATACTCTTATTCTTAATATTGTTTTTTCAAATGATCAGAGTTTGATTTGCAGTCCCTGGCCCTGCTCCTGGAAAGTGACTTCATACCTCTGCCTCTCCAGGTTTTCCACATATTGACCCGCTCTATGCCTTTTACGACACATCTGATACTCTGATGTGAAGATGTTGTGGGGCTGGAGGTCTTGAGCCCCACGGGCACATAGCCCGGGAAAAGCAGAACCTGGAGGACGGTGGGTTGGTTTCAGGCCCTCCTGAGCCTGAGATCCAAAAGGCAGAGCCAAAGATTGGAAACAGGCATTTATTAGGAGATGGGGGAGTCTCCCCACTGAATTCTGAAACCTTCATCCAGGACCAAAGCCAGGGGTCCACTGAGGCTTCAGGATCCAGGTCAAGGGCAGCTCAAGGCTACTTATGAGAAGGGCTGAGACTAGGGTTCAGCCTGTGAGTTCCAGTCCGTCAGGCCTTCGGTCAAGCCATACTGTTCTCCTTCGAGAAAGCATTCAAATTCTATTTCTCCAATTTCATTTTGAAGCCATAGGCCAAGTCATGAAGAAGGCAGGTGACCTATACAGAAGAATGTTGGGTCTGCCAAAACATGGGGTAATTCTTTCCAGCTTCCTGAAAGCCCAAATGGTTGCAGGGTTAGATTAGCAAAGGCTTATTTTTAAACACTTAAAAATGTTAAATTCAGAGGAAATCTTTGGTTTCCTGAAGCGGTGCGATCATCCATCTACACAACCCCGTTTTTGACGTAGCTGTCCAGGGTGGAGGAGTCCGGTTCAGGCTTCCCAATCATCTTGTCGTCAGTTACAGCTAAGTCGATCTTCTCCTCTGGTGGGAATGCCTTGTTCCTTTTGGCGAATGCCTGGCTGATTTCTGCATAGGTTCTGTTTTTGGTCTCAGGGAGGACGAAATAGAAATAGACAGCACCTGTGAGGCAGATTGCAGCAAAGACCAGGAAACAGTAGGTGTCCAGACTTTTCTGTGGAAAGGCAGAGATAAAAAACATCAAATAGACAGTCACAAACCCGGCTGCAAAATCATTTCTGGATAGATTTTTTTTTTATAGATCCCAATTCATGTATCAATATTCCTGGATAAAACACCACATGTGTGATGCTGCATCCATAGGCAAATGTGCCTTATAAACGTCTAGATAAGATGCTCTCACAGGAGGCAGGAATAAATCAACTTCAAACCCTGGCAAAGATGAGGAAATGGCAGTCTTTATTTTTCTTGAAAACTAGGCATATAAGAATTAATCCTGAAAGCAAAATGTAATACTTGCTGAACATTATCTTAAGTTCATATTTACCATTAACCACATTCTCCTTCTCCCCCACAATATACACTTGAGAAAAGTATGTCAAAAGGGGAGCGAAATTCCCTAGTTCAAAAGAAAATTATGGAGCATAGACTAGGCCAAGATAATACCATTTTTCCTACTACGCAAAAGATACTCACTAACTGACACTCGGATATAGCCGTGTACAAATAAGAGACATGAAAGAAGAGAAACGTAGAATGCAATCACTCTGTTTCATGTGTCCTGATTACGACACCTAATGCCTGGACTAGAATGACTGCCAACTGCACTAGACCTTGAGCTTCTCAGTGACTCAGGCAGCAGCTATGGGGCCTCGCACAGAGCCTGGCAGTTGCTCACTAAATGTTTGTTAAATAGAAGACTTTACGGCTTCCAGTCGTTAGGACTGCGGCTTTTTCACACAACAAATGTCTGTTGATTCAAAGATAAGGTGACCCTGTTTTTGAATGATACTTTACAGGAAGCAATATCTTGACTTCAGTCAATTCCATGCTATTCTTTGATTTGACATTTATTTTTGGAGTATAACATAGTACTTAAGAGCTTGATGTCTGCATCACATCTCAGATCCACCATTCACTGAATCTGAGGCTCTTTGGGCGTCAGTTTCCATAGCGGCAAAATGAGGATAATAATGGTACTTATGGGGTTGTTGGAAGGATTAAGCGGGATACTACCTTTAAAGCCCATAGAACAGTTCTGGATGTAGTAAATGTCCCACACCTGGGAGATCTTAGCTCTGAGGGTAGGTACCTTCCCCTTGTCCACAGATTCCATGAGCAGCACAGAGAAGGCAGAGTGTGGGCTCTGCAGTCAGTTGGGTAAGTTTCAAATCCTGGCTCCATTATTTACATGCTGTGCCAACACTTAAGATGTGCCATTTTGGGACAGAACTTGAATCCACTGATTGAAGTTTCCTCATTTCTGCCACAGTGATACAGACCACATATCGTTTGGGAGATTAAATGAGATATGTCCAACATGGCATTCAATATCCCCATTGCATGCTGAATGGGCATCTGACTTATCAAGTCCCAAAGGGAGCCTCAGAAACTGCTCCTGCTCTGGTCTTCCCCATCTCGGCTGATGGCACCTCCATCCTTCTATTTGCTTAGGCCAACCAAACACTCAGAGGCAGAGCTGGCCCCTCTTTCTCTCTCCCATCCACATCTTATCAATCAGGAAGTCATGTTGGCTGTGTCTTGAAATATATTCTGGATCCTAGTGCTTGTCACCACTTCTACTGCTACCATTTTGGGGCAAGCCACCATCATTTCTTGCTCAGATTATTGCAATAGCTTTTCAACTTATTTCCCTACTTCTCCCCTGCCCCTTAAGATTCTTCTCAAGAGAGAAGCCGGAGTGATCCTGCTAAGCCAAAGGACAGGGCAGGAGCTGTTATTTTTCTTGTGTTACCAGAACCCAAAAGAGTGCTTGACACATAGGAGGCACTCAACAAATGTTTATTGAATGCATGAGTGAACTGAGGCTCAGAGAGGCTCCCTCCCCACCCAGGCTGCACCTGCAGCTGTCTGGGACTTCTCTGCCACCTTCAGGGCTGCCACCTGCTTGGCTTCCTTTCCCAAGACTCGATCAGTGGCACTAGGATTTTTCTCACAATTTCATGGAACTGCGTTAAGAACCCTGTGGCTATTACAGTCATCCTGGGAAAGGACACTTGCCCCACTCAGGAGTTTCAGGGGGCAAAGGTATGGGGAGGCCAGGTGAGAGGGCCCGCCTCCTGGGCACAGGCTCCTCCCCACTGGCCCCAGATGAAAAGTCCAGCTGGCTCTCCTTCCCCTTCAGTGACCACTCTTATGGAGGGATGGAGCCTGCAGCAGACACACACTCATACAGGTAGAATTCCAGAATTCTAGAATTCCATAATCCTGGAACCGGCTCTGCAGACACGTGCTCCTGAATAAGGGGTGTTGGTGAGGCCGGCTTATGAAGTGAGAGGAGAGAAGGAACTCCTCAAAGTGAGCATCTTTTATAAGTGTGCTCATTCCTGCAATGGGGAAACAGGCCCATTTGGTCCCTCTTTACAGAGGAGGAAATCAAGGTAGAGGGGGTCATGCTGCTTGCCCAGGGTCACACTGCTAGGACGAGCGGGGCTGGAATAGGGTTTGGGCTGGGGGACAGGAAGGGCCAGCCTAATGCTGACAGTGGCACTGATTATTGATCTCTCAGTCAGCTGGGACCGTTGACTGGTTTAACGTTGGCACCAGCCCTGTGGCACTGCTCCTATCTTACAGACGAGGAGACTGAGGGGGGAAGTTGTCAGTCCAGCGCTTTTGGCCCGAGAGGCAAAGCTGATTCAAGTCTGGCAGTCTAAGCCCAGAGCAATGTGTGTCACACTGTGCTCATGGCTCAGAAAGTAAGGACGGGAGAGAGGACAAGGAGACACCTGGCTGAAGAATCAACGGGGGAAAAACCCTCAGGCCACGCCAAGCCCCGATGTTCAAACAGAAGGTCCTGCCAGCGCTGGAGCAGGGCTGAGAGCACTGCATGGATGCAGGGAGCCACATGGCTGGGAGCTGGAATTCACTGTGTGCCTGGCAGCCAAGGGACATTTGCTAGTATCTGACCTAAATGATTCCATGCCGGCAATCATGCAACAACCTGGCATTACTGCAAGTACGTGATTGCATATAATCTGGGAAGAGAAATGCACTTATGAAGCACCTCCTGAGTGCCAGCAATATTACAGACATTATCTCATCTGACGCCCACAGCCCACACTGTGATACAACCATGTTTATTTCCATTAAAAAAAAAAAAGAAATTGAGGATTAGAGAGGTTCTGAAACAGGTCCAAGGCCACGAAGGGATAAATGAGTCAGGACTCACACTGAAGTCGGCCTGACGGGGAGCTCGCCCTCTCTCCATTATTTATCACGCCTCCCTCGCTGTTGTGTGTGAGCGCTGGGGAGTGAAAGGGTACTGGGATCCTACAGTGTCCCCGCCCGCAGCTGGGAAGTAGGTCTTCTTAACCTCCTCTCCCAGGTGAGGAAATGGAGGTCAGAAGAGGTGAGGGATTGGCCTGCAGTCAGCCAGCTGGTGACGGCTGCCCCTGGATTTGAACCCAGGTCGGCCTGACCCGGAGGTCACTGTCTCTCTCTGTCTGCCTTCCTTGGGCAACTTCATTAGATGCAATCTGTCCGGCAAAATGCCGGGCACAGAGAATGTCCTTTTTTCCTGTCTCCTCCTTTACCTCAAAACAGCTCAGAATCCGCTTTGTGCCCCGCTGCTCCTGAGAGGTTACTCCACCACGCCTGAGTTACTGCCGGTGTGGGAGGGTCTGTCCGGTGCCCCCTGAGCGAGGAGTTGAGAGGCAGCCTGTCTGCAGTGGGAAGCACGCTGCCGAAGAATCGACAGACCTCCATTCCAGACCCCACTCCACCAAATACCCAGCCCCTCCCGTGACCCCGGGAAGCGCCCACAGCCCGTCTGGGCCTTATTTTCCCTGTTCATAAAACAGACTTAACCACATTCAAGGTTTTCCGTAAAACACTTTCACATTCATAAAGCTTAGTCCATAAGTGAGAAAATCGATAAAATCTGGCTACTTGAAACTCAGAGCGTCTATTCCTCAAAAGGCACCATCAAGAGAGTACAAGAGCCACAGACGGAGGGAAGGTGTTGTGACACACAGCTAAGAATGAATACCCAAATTAACAAGACAACTCTTAGGAGCCCATAAGAAAAAGATGGCCTGACAGATAAAAGGGCGGAGGGGATGAACACACATTTCACGGAAGAGCAAATACAAATAGCAAACACGCTGATGGAAAGCTGCTCGTTGTTCTTAGCAATTCAGGATAGCACAAGTTAAAACTGTAATGTATACCGTTTCACACCTATCAGGTGAGCAAAAATGTAAAAAGCCCAACGATGCAACACGAAGTGTTGATGAGCAATACGAATTCTCATACCTGTGGGTGACACCGTAAAGAGCTGTAATGACTTTGGAGAACACCTTGGCACTACCGAGTCCAGGGGAAGTTGTGCGTGCTATGACCCAGCAATGACACTCCGGGTACGTATGTTCCAGAGCAATGCCGTTTGAATTGAAATTAATTAAAAGTTCAGTTCCTCAGCTGCACGAGCCACATTTGGGGCGCTCAACAGTCCCGCCCGGCTAGTGGCTTCCTCACTGCACGGTGGACAGCCAGCACTCCCGTCGGCACAGAAGCTCTTGCACGCTGTCCTGGGATGTTCACGGTAACACTGTTTGTAGAGCGAGCAAATGGGAAATGACTCACATGCTCACCGGAAGGGGAAGGGATAAATAAATCGGGGTCCACGCAGACAAAGGACTACCACAGAGCAGTGAGAACCAATGGCCCATAGCTACGCATCTCAACACGGATGGCGCTCAAGAAGACATGAAGAGTAAAGAACAAGGCCCAGAAAAATACCTTCACGATGATTTTCTCTATATAAACACAAAAAGCAGACAAAGCGAAACACTAGATTGTTCAGGGGAGCATCAATATGAGTGTGAAACTGTAAAGAAAACCAAGAGAATGATTAGTACAGAATCCTTGCTCTGGTTCCCTGGGGTCAGGGCGAGGCCCCCCGGGCCTTCCAAAGGCTTAGGCTGGCTGAGGAGGTACACTGATTACCTTCCTACTATTTTTATATAGCATGTA